TTCCTGATTGTTACTTGTGCAAGGTGTTTGTTGGCCAATGGACGATTCATAAAATTACGTAGGCTGTAGGCGCGTGCGCACACACGCACTTGAAAACTGTACCACGAAAAAGTGACGATTCTGTCCTTCGGCGTTGTGACGCCTTGTAATCTTGTTGGTCGTAGGCAATTACTTTGAAGAGGCAAGCGTTTTGTTCTTCCGGTACGTAACGGTGTCACAGCCCCATAATACCACAGTAGACACCTTTGTCGCAGTGAAAATCTCACATGAATGGGTAAATATTATTTTTACTGCTGAGGGTTCTAAATCATTCGTGTTTCTTTTGAGAAAACCGGCGGGCGGTTCGTGTTTTGGTGTACACATAATTTTGAATATGAACACTATATGGATACCAAGCCTTGACTCCAACTTATGCAGCGAAATTATTATACGCTTTTTGGCCCTCAGAGTCTCGGTTGCAACAACGGAGTAGTTTTGTGTTCTTAAAATTAATGTACTTTTGGATATTGTGTATAATTAATAACTGTGGGCACATATAACCTTTTTATGAAAACTGTTGGTTTTCCATTTCAAACACCATGACTGACTTGAATTTGATTATCTTCTTTTTGGATTACACAATTATTTTGTACTTAGTTGGCGGACCGTGTGTAACTGAAATTAAAAGCCGGTATGAAAAACGAGTCTGTGAAATCCTTTGTTGGTATAACAGTAACAGCGTGGTTAAAGTTACTTTGAGCACAGGGGGTAGTTACTCATCAGAACACCAGTAGTTATGCTCCAAATTCTCCGTTACCAGACGAGAGGACGAAGATTTTTGGAGAGACCCAAAGAATGCGGGCATGAGACTACAGGGGGCCACTCACTGGGCCTACGAAAACAAATCACACCGGCTTGGTTTTATCCAGGATTTTCGTACCTGCCCCCTCCCAGAAATAGTTCGAGATAATACAGACTTAACATCCTATTTATTTTTGCAGTTTTCCATACACCCAAATAGCTTTCGATGTTCTTACAGCGTCGTAAAATTACTGGAATTTATGTATGAAAAGAAACATATATTAATGACACGATTGTCAAGGCAGATTATAAATAATTTAGGCTTCGTTCGGGCTGGAATAAAACGAAGTCGGGCTTGGGTGATGTACTGGTAACGTATTTGAAGATGAACTCCAGGCTTAGGTTCGGTCGGGCCAAATGGTTGCCGGGCCGGGAAAAAATATAATATTTCGGTCCGTGCAGATCTTTGACGTAACTTCGCATGGAAATCGTTAGCTGCTGCCCGTAACGAAATTTTGGGACGAAGGAAGTGTTTGTGATAATAGATAATCAAATGACCAGAAACACATGAAATTATAGCCGTACTTATTACAAGCAGTGCATCAGCTATAACAACGGGATACGACTGCAGAAATTCAGTATTGCCTCTGGTGTCGACGTTTGAGATTTAAGGTGGTCATTTATAGCAGTCAGAGCTGATTTTTAAATCGAACGCTGTGCATAATAGATATCACTGAAACTGCGCAGTTGAGGTAGCACACACGCCGAAAGCCCAAAGACATTCACATTCTAATTTGAATATTTAAGCACGCAGCAGTTCCCTCCATGTGTGCAGTGGGTGTTTCTGATTTAAGGACGCCTTGTTGAAATTTCGAATTTTTTGTCGGCAGCGCTCGTCAATTTCAGTGTCTCTTATAAAGGAACTTGTTTCATGTAGGATTTGAGGTTTAAACGGTTGTGAATCTGAAGATGGCTGTCTTCTGGGTTGTTGCGTTATCATCGCCCTGATGATGGAGGCAGCAAAGACCTCTGAAACACCGGTAAACTTCTGCTATGGAGGATTTGAGGTTTTCACAGTGGCGAGTCCGAATGTGGTTGTCTTCTGGGTTGTTGCGCCGTGTAGTCGGGTAGAAGTTTACCGATATTTCAGAGGTCCTTACTGCCTCCATCATCAGGGCGATTGTTTATGGGCCAGGAGAGTTGAAAAGACAGCTGCAGAGGCGGAATTATCCACAAAAATTTACAACTGGTTGTAAGTAGTTGAAAGAATGATGCTATAGTAAAAAGAAAGCAATTCAGTTTAAAGTAATAGGCCTAGTCTAGTCGTTTAACGAGTTCTGTGATATTTTACGAGAGTCGAGAAGTCCTGCTTTTTTCATCTAACACATCCGAAGTTGGTTATCAGATCCTGTATGTTTACTTATTTTAGTTCATTTTTTAAAAAAAAATTCTGTACAATTGTTGCTGTCCATCGTTTGCTATACAGGGTTCCAGGGTCATCTTCAGATTTTCTGTGTGGTTACAATATCGTTATGTGACTGACGTCTATAAGATGGCTACCCAGGAATAATGCTGTATGGAATAAGATGGAGGACAAACGTCTGGAAGAAATCTAGCTAAAAAACCTCAGTTCTGTATAATATAACACTGAGATGTTTAAAGTAAGGCATGATTTGGTTATTTAAAAAGTGGTAAATTTGTAAGGTTTTTAAGGACTATCCGAAAAGACGAAGTGATGTCAGTATCTCAGTTTGTAGGTGATATAACGTCGGTAAGAAACTGAAATGTTGATCCATGTTGGCGTTCAAAGAAACCTTGAACTTGTACACCTTTTAGCAGGCGCAGTTCGTGAATGCGAATTCTTTTGTTGCCAACCGGCGTTTATTATTATTCTTGGTGGCTTCAGACGAGCCCCCGCGAGCAAACTGGTGCGTGCGCGCGTTGACGGTTTCAAGGATAACAGGAGCCCAGGTTGAACGCCCTTCTTAAAAAAATCCCCCTTGGACATTTTCAGTATTTAGATGCAAAAAGTGCGGTAATTTTGCGGCGTAGCTTTGTGTAAATGTTGGACTGTTCCAATATGTTGAGTAATATAGGAAAAAGAAACTAATAAAATTTTGATTGTACACATGCTTGTAACAGACCTGTTTTCAATTCATCCTCCCTCATTTGATACCCATAATTATAATTTATAAAACTGTTGCGAGAATTTCGCGAAAGTGCACATGACCGTTTACACACTTCTTTTATTTTGGTGTTCAGTTGATGTACAATTTTCTGTCATATCATTTATTTTTTTCCGTCACTTCTTGCAATTAAGCTTCATGCACTGCCGTAGTCGCTGTCATCTCGAAAGTGGTACACTGTCCTCATTGAAGGTTTTGCTCATTATCCTCAATTCTTCAGGCGAAAGCTGAGTGTTTACGGTAAGTTGTATCAACCCCTTAACCCTTTACCCTTCCAGACACAAAGATTCTTGTGCTGTCCTAAGTCATATCACCAAACAAGGATTCTTTTTACATGGTCTTATTGGCTAACTGTTCGGGCGGATACACGAATCAGGTAACAATTTAGCTGTTGGACTATTTTAACATAGCTTGTTTAAAGAATATGACAGAAAATGTTTACGGGTCTCTTAATTTCTTGTGTTTTGTGTTAATTACTGTGCGTGTTTGTCTTTCAAACGTGGCAGTTAACATTTCCGTATGTGAATGCTGTGCTGTTGTGTGCAAAGTATTTTAGAAAAGTTTTGAAATTCAGTTTATTTCATTCAATTAAACTCATTTAAATTGTGTTTAATTCAGTCCGTACCTCGAAGAGAACACAACTCTTTTCCATTAGGAAGATCAACTGATTAACGCTGTTTAAAAAAATAATGCTTGCAGTGAGAAAAATACGTATTAGCACCAAATGCAATTGGCGTATTGTTTGTTAAAGCAGGTGGTACATATAATTATGATTGGGTTTTAAAGGATTGATGCAAGTGCACTGCATAATATTTTAAAAATGCTGTGTAGTGTTGTCATAAAAGAAAATCATACAGATTAGAAAAATATTATGTTATACTTTGTTTAGCCCTTGGCTGTAATTTTAATAACTGTAATACGTTTTAATTGTGGATTATGATTTTACTCGTGTGAACGCTTTTGGAATTCAGTTTAGTTTTTGGTAGACCCACACAAAGTCGTGCTGATTAAGCACACGCCGCCGGATATGACTGATTTTCCTTTCGCAAACGAGTTCAAAAATGGACTCGAGTGAAAAATGACTGATTCTCAGATGATGAGCTGTCTCGTAAATGTTACAATTGGTATGCAACTTGAACATTTACAAATTAAAATGTGGAATTAGGATGGTGAAATGAACACTTTTTCTTTGAAACATTTTCGTTGGCGTTAAGAAAGGGCCTTGGAGCGTATGAGTTGTGCTTGATAACTTTGAGGCTGTAAGTATAGTATACTAACTGAAATTTTACATAAATATATTACTGAATCATAAAACGATATTAGTTTAGACACAAGGTTTGTAGTAGATTACAGGAATACATTCTTCTTTCTTCATATAGACCCGACGCCATTGTTCGGAGATAATCGTCAATGAAGTCTGAGTACTTGGTGTCTTAATTTTTTTACCGCCATGTGTTTCTTATTTTTACACATTGAATTTGACCATTTAAGATGGTCAGTTTAAACTGCAGTGTAAACATACACAATATTGTTTTTGTGTCGGATTCTTTCTTTTGGTTTTCTGTGAAATTAATTTCCAGCACTTCATATCAACATCAATTCTTTGAGCACCTGTTTTCTTTATTTCACTATTGTAATGGCATGTTTTGTTTTATCTTATTTTCAGGTATATTCACGGTGATGTGTTACAACGTTCTGTGCGATAAGTACGCTACCCGGCAGATGTACGGATATTGTCCCAGTTGGGCCCTTGAGTGGGAATACAGGAAAAAGGGTATTTTGGACGAAATCCGTCATTATGCTGCGGATATAATCAGTCTCCAGGTGAGTAAGTTCGTAAATTGTTTAACATAGACGTGTCTATTATAAGTAGGGTCAAATCAGATACAAGAGTTTATGCAGCTGTGGACAGCTTTGCAAATTGGATGCTGAAATTAATTAATTAACGTGACTATCTGAATAAGTAGTACTTTAGGCAGATCAGGAAGTAAGAATCGGTGTTTGAACGTAGTACGTTTTCAAAGGTGTAGCAATTAAGTAGTTTAATTTTGCGATCGCTTAGTGGGGAAATAATTTTATTAAAATTGTTACAAACAAAGGAGAAACAGTTTCCATTTACTCTGTTAATGAAGATAACTCGTAAAATAAGACTTTTTACGCATGTCTTTGACATATGGTCAGGAATTTATGCATTTTTTACGTTGGCAGTGTGAAAATAAAATAATGCCATTTTATTCCGGACAATTCTGCTCTCCTTCGCATGCCAACTACGAGGATGTTTACTGTTCCTGTTTATAACGTAGAGTGGTCTGACAGGTAATGCGGCCAGCATAATTCTCTGGTCATTTATATCGTACCGAGTTGCGTAATATTCATGAGTTCCCAACAGCTTGAGCTGGTATCTCAAATTGGATCTCGCCTCTTTCCTTCCAGTTGTTTTTCCAGTCATTGAACACGTTTAACTCATCACGTGTCACCTTTTTATGACGTACTAAATTATTTTTTTTTGGAACATCGGCCTGCAAGTTTTAAAAACACTGTTTTGTATTTCGGAATTGAGAAGATTGGTATAAATTGTAGGGGTGTGTAACTCTTCAAGTACAGTGGTAATTATATGTACCACTTGCTTTAACAGTAATTAACTCTGCATTTTGTCCGCAGTCTCAGCGTAAACAGCGAATAGTATCGTAAATACTGTTAGCCGGTTGATGTTTGTAATGGAGACGCGATGTACTTTTTTGAGGTAGGAACTATATATTTTTTAAGATTACTAGACATATTTCGTGCTTAAGAATGTTAAGCCATTTGGCCAAGGTTAGGCTTATATTTTGTCAGTAAAAATATGAAGTTGTCGCTGTTCTAATTCAGGTACCACGCCATGATGTGCGTTTCTACGAATTATTTACTTCGGCACTAGATGGAGCTAAGTGGTCTGCTTCACGGTCTGGCTTTATCCCCGGTGGAAAAAAAATCTCTGATGGCAATTTGATAGGAGGCTGTTTGTGGCCCAGAGCCGATCTGAGCTTTGTGCGGTGAAGAAAATTCCTTGCTACTGCCGGGATTCTTAACCTGGTCGTTCAACCATTTGCCGTTTGAAATTTTATTGTCTGCGAACTATCCAGTCTCGTTCATTTTGTCAATAGTCTGCTAAGAGCGTTTGAAATAGTTTCCGAAATCTTATAAGACTGTGATTTGGTTTTCTTGTGACATGGGCCGATGATATTTGGTCTGCAGCATTGGACATAACTGCCCTAAACCATTAATAAGTTCAGCTTTAATGATGCTAACGTTTATAGACTATACTGTATGAACCGTGTTTATCTTTGCAGGAAGTGGAAACGAGTCAATTCTATAATTTTTTTCTGCCAGAGTTAAAGAGGGTCGGCTATGATGGTATTTTTTCCCCGAAGTCCCGGGCCAAAACAATGGCGGAGAACGAAAGGAAGTTTGTCGACGGATGCGCTATCTTCTACAGCACGGCGAAGTAAGTGACATTTTACTATTCCCATATAATGAATTTTAAAGTAATTAAGTGATATATGCCTGTTCCGACCTGTTTTCCCCTCAGTATGAAATTTGTACAGTGGGATATTTTTGTAAAATATTGCAGGTTGTCTCTAGAAGACTGTCATTGACGAATCGTTGTCTGCTGTCCATGTTGGAAAGTTAGGCGTATATGAACCCATAATTATTGTAGTTGAGATTTCAGGTTCTCATGGTAACGATGAAGATGGCTGTCCTCTGAGATCAGTGGTAATCAACCTGGGGTACGCGTCCCCCCGGGGGTACGCGAAGACATCTTAGGGGGTACGTGAAATTTAAAAAAATATATATTATTTTATGATAAACACTGAATAATCGGTAATGTAATTTATTTAATTTATTTTAGATGTAGATTATATACTACGTATAACTTGAACTACACACCAACAATTTTGGGGGTACAAAGTTGAAAGAGAAATTATATCTGGGGGTACGCGAACAAAAAAGGTTGAATACCACTGGTCTGAGATGCTGCGCAGTGTAGTCTGGTAGATATTGGCCGACGTTTTCAACGCCCTGATGAGTGAGGCAGTGAGCGACTTCTACCAGACTGCACGGCGGAACAACCCAAGACAGCCATCTTCATACTCGCCACCTTGAGAACCTGAAATCCCACACTTTATGACGTCATCACCTCCAACAGGTCTTCATTGTCAAATGCTGCTGTGTTTTATTTTGCGTATCTTGCTTTCCCCTGTATGTAGACTGCTTGTGGAATTATACCAAATATCTGAAAGATTCTGAATTTCGGTAGAAATCTTGAATTGGAACCGGCCGCTTTTCATAATCCGTGGCGGAATCATAGACTGATAATTTTATTTTCGATCTGTCTCGAATTTTGACCCTGAAATGGGAAAACAGTATTTTTTTAGGTAACTACTGGTCCAACTTCTTTATACTTGCACAAAGAACGCATGCCTTCAGATCTTCGAAACGGATATGCAGTTCTTTGACGTGTCACGTGACTGCGTATCACGTTTTAGCGTTTGCCACGTGCTCATTGCCGTCAACTGTCTACTTGGGTGTGTGACGTGATTTGGCAGACGAAAATTGCTTTGTCTCTAAAATAGATAGGGGATTGCATAATTCAGAACTTGTAAGGTTATGTCCTTTATAATAGGCACGTGGTATTTGTATGTGTGTATGTCTAAAATGTATATTTATGAGTAAACATTCCGACATGCGTTAAAATCACCGTCACGTAGAATTCTAGAGAGGCGCCAGATCTCTAAATGAAGCTGCTTTGTGGTTCAACAACCGAAATTTCAACTGTTTTTTTACATCGGGTGTACTGAAAACGGCTTTTAAAGCATTTATGTTATGAAAAGTGATTATATTATATTCTTGCAAAGGCAAAATAAATATTTAAACGTAGTGAAAGTGCCTACTCAAAGCGTTCGAACTAATTGATATACATTGAGATGTATAGTTGTTATAAGTTAGAACACTGCAGCAGTTTTTAAATTGTTTGTTCTGCCTCAGGTGAGATATTTAGTACTCGTCAAAATCTAAAACTTTCACAGCTCAGTAGTGTAAATGTAAAAAGAAAGTATAGAAATAGTAAACTGAAAATAATAAGTAAATTATTTTTGATTTCTAATCTGTGAGCAGGACTTGTTACTTCTCGGCATTGTAATATAATGCCACTGCAGTTCATTAGGCTGTGTTTTTGAATTTGTATTTCCGAATTGTATTTTTTCTTCCATTTGGCCTCATTTACTTTTGTTAGTTCTTCTGAATTTGGGTTAATATTACATTGTTTTTTTACTAAACTCCCCGTTTCCATTAACACAGCCTGAATGATTTTCAGTTGCTAAAGATTGTACTTGCCATTTACATTTCATAACTTTCCACCATATAAATTTAACATGTCAAGGAAAAATATCCCTGTTTTGCCGGGAATCGAAGCCAGTTTGTCCATACTCTCTTTGTTTATAGCTGTGTTGCTGACATAACTTGATAACTTCAGCCTTTCTTCCGGAACATCAAAGATGTAAATGGGTAATGTGGAGAGATCTGGTATGAAAATGAAGGTTCGATCCTCGGCAGGTGCAGAAAGTTACTTTTCGAGACCATGTACAGACTGATTCTGTGGCCCCATCCAGTATGTGTCCTCGGTACGGGGTGTTCCCCCCCACTACTTCGTGGCATGGTGCTCGGGCACCTTTGTCCTTTGACCTTTACAGATACGTATTTCTTAGTGATGTCTTTCTTTCTACACATACAGACTTAAGTACCTTGGTTCTAGTTTTGTTGTAACGTTGGCTGCCCCGCGGCAATGGTTGGATATTAATTTGCAGAGTGTGAAGTATCTCATAAACAATGAAAGTAAAATTGCACGTGTGTCTTATTAAGCATCATGAATGTGATTACAGCGAATAGACGACTGTAAGTAATAAGTATTTTCTGTCATTATTTTATTTTAGTTCCAGTGTTAGACTGTTCTGTACGTAGCGCAGGTATGTGTCACGTAAATCACCACAACCCTAAGGGTGGAGTGGCATCATATAAATTGGTTTTTATCCTCATATAAGATACGCCTTCATTATTTAATCCGCTTTGTGGTATTTATATTGAAAATAGGGGGTGTGGCGACATTTCGGTGCTTTGTCTGTAACTCGGTTACTGCACACACAGATACTATATGGGTTAACAAATTACTTTGTGTTAGGATCCCACTGGATGAAACAGATGAACGTCAGGTATAAACCACAGGAAATGGTTCAATGCAACTCCCAGTTCCTGGTAGTTGTGAACCGTATTCTGAATTTAACTCGCAGTTCAAGATGGAAAGTGTATGCCCTTTATACATGGCATTCTATTAGCTATTACGAAATGTCTCTGCCGAAAATTAGGTTAGATTTGAGTATAGCTTTTATATGATTTGTTTGAAAGATTTGATATTATCGTATGAACAGTGCAGTTAAATCTGTTTTAAAACGAAACAAACTATTTCTATAAAATTCATACACTACTCTGCCGTGTTGAAGTCCTCCTCGTAGTCTTGTCTTAGGTCATCGCCGTTAAACGCACGATGCTGGCTGCAGAGGCGTTCTAAATTGGATGTTTCTGATCAACGTGGTAGGAAAGCTCATGGACGAGCAGACATGGGTTCTGCAGGCAGACGCTTGTAATTGCTGGTTGCTTTCTCCGATCGGATCGTTTGTATCGCCCAGCCAACTTGGCTGATGGCGGAAACGACCACGCCCAGAAAATAATATATTGTACTCACTGAGACGGAAATTTTATTAGGAAGACATACCACTTTATTCGTGACACGAACGTACGCTTCATTGCTTGATTTGTGTGGGCGGTAGTCTGTACAGTACTACTGTTATGAGTAATTTATTATCCCGGGGTGACCAGGTTGAGAACATTTTCATCGAACGTCGCATCCAAATGGTTAACACTCCTTCAGATTCGGGAGATTGCGGATTGGAATGTCGTATCAGAGACCGGCTGTGCTCACTGAGGTTTTAAGTGATTATTGACAGGTTCAACTCCTGTATTAGATGATTAGTTCGTTTACTTCCGTAGTTCGGATATTTTGACTTTATGGCCATGGTACCTTATTCGCGTTGTTCATTCTTGTAGGGAAGTACGTAGGCATTATGAGTTATTTTATAACCTGCTAGAGCCTCCCACTGCTTATCTCTGAGCACTGTGACTGGAATTCGCAAGCGGTTTTCGTAGTTGATGCCTGTCCGCTTACCAGCATTCTAATAGTGCAGCCATGGACCCTAAGCAAAGTTGTCCTCAGAAACCATGTCACATCAACACGTGACATGTAGCCCAAAGTTCGAATTATTTATTGTTCCTGTTTCTGGAGGTTTTAACCTTCAAATATTCTGGGAGGATGAGTACAAGGCGATCCTTCATGTGAACATTGATGGTGAGGACAGGACTTGCAACGCTACGTGCTGTTACAATTCTTCACAAGTACAGGGTGAACGCAAATGACATGATCGCATTCAAATATTTATTTAACAAAAAGTAAAGAGCGTACAGAAATGAAATTTACACCGTTTGAAGGAGATCTTGAAACATTTTTGTAGCATGTGGGAAAGATGACGAAACTCCGATTGCCACTGGGAGAGTAATTATTGGCAGGGCAGTAAAATGGCGATTCAGCCCAAGAAAGCGAATAGAATTTGCACATGGAGGATCTTTGTGGGACTTTCTTCGATTACCCCGATGAATACTGGTCATTAATTGTGTGGAATGAAACTCGAACACATAAAAACACTTTCTTGGGCTGAGTCGCCATTTTACCGCCATGTCAACAGGCGCCCTTCAAGTGACCATCGTTGGAGTCACGTTATTTCTCCCCCATATTACAACAACAAATCTGGAGTTATAACTCCGATGGTGTAAGTTACATTTCTGTATGCCATTTAGTTTTCGTCAAATATTTGAACCGCCCAGGTCATTTGTGATCATCCTGTATTTTATGAAACAACAGTTTAAAATGACACATCAGTGGAATACACAATTGGATGTTTACGAGTTCATGTGTGTTTATGTACGAAGACTATTGTGTGTAAATGAAAGATGTAAACATGAATAAACATCCCTTCACTTGCGAATGACAGCTAGAAGCTAAAGACCGTAAACCTTACACAGTATTTTAACAAACCATGCTGTACAAGGAAAATATGAGAATGACAAATGATGGATGTAGGATCGGCCTGTAATGAGATTACAGTTCGCCAGTGACAGTGTAAAGAGGTAAAAGTCGAAACATTAAAAACCATGTATGATTTCTACTTCTCAGATTATTTTTCACGTTACCTGTAATTTTGCAAAATTATCATCTAGCCCAAAGTTAATGTCAATTTCATAATTATATAAAAATTATTTTTCAATTTCCCCTTTGACACTGGAGTCAAGGTCACTTGTTGCTAGGCCGCTGATCGTACCAATTGCTCAGAAAGTTCACAT